TCTGCCTCGACCGGCCCGTCTACCCCTGCCGCTCGCTCTGTGAGGTGGTACGAGACTCCTGTGCCCCCGTCATGGAGTCCTACGGCTTCCCCTGGCCTGAGATGCTGCACTGTGGCAAGTTCCCCTCTGACCACGAGCTCTGCATCGCAGTCCAGTTCGGGAACAGCAAAGTCACCCCGCCGCCAGGTAAGTGGGAAGCGTACTCTGATGGGATGGAGATGCATGCAGAGCCCCTGCAACCCATGCCTTCATCCCCTGAAGCAGAGCCCGAGGCGCTGGTGCTGGCAGAGGGCAAACCCTCTGTCTGCAGCAGGACACAAGTGGGCACAGTGGGCATCATCACCTGCTTTGGCTGGGCACCCAGCTGCCTGCACCGAGCTGCCCCATGACAGGGGAGAGCGTGGGATGAAGTGGGAGTCACTGGTGGATCTGCCACAGTGCTTTATCCCTCTCCTCTCACCGGGTCCCATGCCAGCAGCAAAGAGCATACTGCACCTTCAGGTCTCAGCCCCTCACTGCTGCTGCAGGGTGGCTGTCCCCTCAGGCAGGAGAGGAGACATCACCCAAAGGCAACCCGAGGTCAGGATCAGGGCTGTGACACCCGTCAGGCTGGGGCCACCCTCACTGGTGTTGTGCTTCAAAGCACCAGCATCTGGTTGGGAGGGTGTCCCCAGATTCCCTCCCCTTCTGGGGTGTGCTGTGACTCTGGCCAGCATGGTGTTTGGTGCCCCCCCATATCACCCCTGCACAGCTGCCTAGGGAGCAGAGGATCTGCTGGGCTCTCCCAAGCGTGTCCCCAAGGAGCTGGCCCAGATGACAAGTGTCAGCAGCAAGGAAGCTGTGACAGTGACTGGTCTCTCACCACAGTGTCCAAGATCTGCACCCAGTGTGAGATGGAGCACAAGGCAGATGGCATGATGGAGCAGATGTGCTCCAGTGACTTCGGTGAGTGCTGCGGTCTGAATAAGTGTCTGGCTCCCCCAGGTCTGACAGCTCGGGCAGGGGTTGGCCAGAGGGCAGGGTTGTATGGGGACAGCCCCATGGGAGTCCGCCAAGCCAGTCCCTTGGACCTCGTGTGCATGGGATGCTTGCACCACTGGACAAGACATTGGTGGGGAGATATGCAGAATGGGATGCTTGTGAGGTTCACTGTGGGCCTCTCTGCTGACCCCCCCCAACAACCCCTTTCCCCTTCCCACACTGTAACTTCTCCAGAGACACTTCTGTGTCCTGCCCCAGGGATGGGCTATACCTTGTTCTGCATAGGTGCCAGACCCTCCCACCCCACAGTATCCCAGTAGTGCCCCCCTCTCTCAACCATCCCCCATGGCCACCCCACACAGTGGTGAAGATGCGCATCAAGGAGATGACGGAGGAGAATGGGGAGCGTCGGCTGGTGGCTGCCCAGAAGAAGAAGGTGCTTAAACTGGGTCCACTCAAGCGCAAGGACACCAAGAAGATGGTGCTGCACATGAGAAATGCGAGCACCTGCCCCTGCCCCCAGCTTGAGAGCCTCAGTGGCAGCTTCCTGGTGATGGGCCGCAAGGTGGGCGGCCGCCTGCTCCTCCTGGCCATCTACCCTTGGCAGAAGCACAACAAGGAGATGAAGTTCGCAGTCAAGTTCATGTTCTCTTATCCTTGCCCCCTCT